AGCTTGGACCTTGCAGATGCCGCTGATGTTCTCAAGATGCAATATGATGCAATTCACTTCTGCAGGCCTGTTGATTTTCAGCTTAAACAGGAGACAAGTGAAGCCAGTCCCCAGGCCATTGTTTTCTAATAGCTTCGTAAGAAGCGCTGACTCCGTCTCCCTCTGTGGCATCGTCAGCCTCCCTAAACACGCCGCACACACAAAAACCCTTTAAACCCAGTTTTGTTTAGGTTTTTTTTATCATTTACTAACAGTGTGTACACACATAATTGATTCATGCATATTCTTATACCTGAATTTGTTTGTATTAAATAAAGTTTAGAGGTATTCCTCACTATGTGCACAATTAAATATTAAATACAGCCCCCCCATTTTTGCACATGTCGAGGAGCGTGTCAGGCTACATTTCACTGTGTGTTATACTTGTATAACTATGCATGTGACAAATAAAGAATCTTGAACCCTTGAACCTTGAAATGGAGGCCGTGCTCGGAAAAATTTAAATGCAAGTCATTAAAAAGAAAAATGGAATGCTTCAATTGTCATGTTTGCACATGAGAGAAAATGGGCCTTATTCACTTATATTTGCATATAAATGTTCTCACTCTGCGCACAAAACACATATGCAAAATTCCCACTGGATTCATAAAATCTGCACAGTAGCCTGTTTAGTGCTCAACCACCATCAAATCATTTTCATTTCCTCTGAGATGCTCACTGTGACTCAAATTTATTTAAAAATTTACTTGTGTGGACATCCAGTAATAACGGTCACTTGGAATATTTTTTTTAAAGCCTTTTAATTTTGTTTTGTTTTCTTTACAGTACGTGCACTTTTTTTCATGATTTGTTTAAATCGTGTATGCTGTCTTTCCCCATTGTAGCCTCTCAACATCTCCTGTGATTGGCTCCACGCACAGCTGAATCACAGTCTTACATGTGTAGGATGTCATGACTGCTGTTAGAAGCCCACTGGAGTTAACGCTGTACTTGTCAGCACTCAAAAAGTAGTGAAAATAATCCCCAGTTAAACACGCCCACTAGGAAGAGTCTTCTTGGTGCTGCGGGGAGCAAGGAAACATGCCTGCGCAAAAATGTCATTTATAAACCAACTTCTTTTTTGTAACCGTCTGACTTTTAAACAAATGTACTTGTTTGCAACCACGCAGGTTCTCCTCGCACAATATCATCTTTACTTTTGAGAACGATGTTATATCCATCATTGATAGTAATACAGCTGGATCACACAGTCTTACATGAGTAGGTTGTCACAACTGAGTTAGAAGCCCGATGCAGTTAAATATGCACCCACTAGTAAGCATCTTGTGTCCGGGGATGCTACAGGAGTGCAAAGTCAGTACTTACTCATGCATGTTTCAAAAAAAAAAAAAAAAAAGAAGAAGAAGAAGGGAAGGGTCCCAAAGCTGACATTAGGATTTTATTAGTAGACATTTTCCCCATTCATAGAATCTAACAAGCTGTCCACAGTATGGATACAACCCCTTACAGACCCCTCCCGACTTCAAAATAAAACTTCTGGTTGTCACCAAAAACTGTTTAAATACTATAAAAATAAAATCAATTGCACAAATATGCCATTTTGCTTGCGATTACTTCTGTGCAACACTTTTACACATATATTACATCGACAACCACATGACACAATCGAAGAGAAACAAAATTCAACAGAAAACATTTTCCTTAATAGAAAGAGCCAACAATCAAAGCAACATAAAATCCTAGAATTAGTTAAATAACGTTTATTAGTTGTATAACTGGTAGAGCTTGATGAGCACTGATGAACGTGACGGTTACATGTGTTTAGTTTTCGCCAGTTAGTAGTTTACCGTAAAAAATTACCAAGATCATTGTGTCTGTTTGGATTCATGTACAGCTGCAGAATTTGGTGAGTGCTTGACTTTAGCCTTCTGTGATGGCGCACTGGGAGTAGTGTTTGTGCAATAAGCTTTTTAATAACACAAAACAAAAAAAGTTGTTTTTAGGTTGTTTTTAAATGAATGTAAAGTTCTGGATTGTACTGGTGAATTTAACCCAACATGTCCTGAATATGTTACAGATACTGTACTGGCAAGTAAATCAGACAGATGTAACAGCCACAGTCAAAGGTTCAGTGTTCAGCTGGTGAATGTTTGCTTCAAGCCCCGATTAGGCGCTCTGCTCTTTCCTAAGCAAAACATTAAGAAACGATTTTGCTACAAGAGAGAAAAAAAAAAACAACAAAAAACTCATTCATAAAACACCATAAATAACACACAAGTTAAAAATGGAAAACAGACAAGCTCGGGCACTAAGCATGACACGGTAATCCATTTTTGAAAAAAAAAAATAATAATAATAATACAAATAAAAGTCAAATTGAAGATGTGACAACACGGCTACCTGTAGTGACAAGTAGTACAAATAGGTTTCAAATTAACTGGAATGTATTAAACTAAGGCTGCAAAATCAATATATAAAAAAGGTACATCTCACTACTCAAAAGTGAAGGTGTGTGTGTGCGTGCGTTCAATGTGTCGCTGCGGGTGGAGGGGGGGAATGTTAAGCTGTGGTACAATAACAGACACGTGCAAAAGTTGCATAGGGTCGGTGCTGCAAGCTAAATATTCATGTGAAAATGTGATTTTTAATACAGAAACAAAACGAAATGTGATTAAAAATTAGATGCGTGCCATAACGTACTGAGCAGGGATCGACTTCAGCAGAACGCATCTGTCAAACAAAATTAGGCGCGTGTGTTACGATGTTAAGTTAGTACGCACATGTGAGAGCTGTAACCTGTTTGTTCTACATTTCTCACTCGATCAAAACCGCAGGGTGACTCGAGCTCTGCCTAAGTGCTTTAATCGAAAGCATTACAATGTTTAAAAACTTTAACCTTTTAATAAAACCTCAGCATAGCAACAAAAATTTAAATTTAAAGAAAAAAAAAAGAAAAAAAAAAAAGATGGATTTCATCCCAGTATTCATTTACCAACATGTCTGTATCCTAGAATCTGAAGGGAAATGTGAGTCCTGCTCAGTGACGATGCATTAAAATAATAATGAATGGGTTAAATGTAGAGTCACACTAATTTGTGTTGAGCTCAACAACAAAGGGAAACTGCACAACAGTGGACCTCATCTCGAGTTACCAATTTCTGGGACCCTGTTGGGACACTACCAACAATCCAAAACGTCTACAGTCTTTTTTTGTGTGTGCCAACATTCATTAGAGAAGTTCCGGCTTTTTTTTTTTTTTTTCTTTTCCCCCTCCTCTCCTTCTTCACTTTAAGAAATAGTGTTTCTGCTTGGCACATAAGTGTAAGAAGCAGCCTGCACAGACACAAAAGACTACAATCATCACTGTATCGTTTCTGCTTGTTTTGTTGTCCTATTATACGAGTCGACGCCAAGTTAATCTGCGGTCCGTTAACTTTTCTGTAGTCGCCATTTTTCTCCAGTTTTTCCCGTTCATGTCTGCTTATGTCACTTTGTCCATGAATCCATCCACCCAATCCTGCCACAGAACACAGTCATCTAGAGCTGCATTTGATACTCTGATTACACCGACAAGTTTCTTCTATGACGATAGTGAGATTTATAACAATCCAGTTCCTTTAGGCTCATATTTTCTAATTCATATCCGCACAGAAAAAACACCCTCTCCTGTTAATATGGCTTTTAGGTGCTTGTACGCATTTATACACGGGTTCACACAATAGATGAGCATATACCATCACTGTAATATTTACTTCTAGTCTTTTTGGACTCCTCTTAAGTTCACTAGTTAAAAGAATGAAAAAAAAAACAAAAAAAAAACGACTGAACAACAGTTTCATTCACAAGCAGCTGCAGATCAACACCCTTATCCTCTAAAGTCACATGTTAAACTGGGAAAATGCAACCAATATGTACTGCTAAGCCCGGTCTTGTAACCTGCAGGGGTAAATGCAAACTTCAAATGTCAGCATCTTAAAAACTTAAAAGCAAGATGCAGAAATCAGACGATGGAATACTTGCACCTGTGTGAAACCAAATCACGCATCAGCCGGGTATTCAGCTATTTCCATGAATATCTAAACTATTTGTTGCTTTTGTTTTCCTGATTCCAATTCTGTTTTTGTTGTCAGGGAAATGTATGCTTTATAGTATTTATCTTTACTCATTTTAATATTTTTAATCAAACTTTACTAAATTATTGGAGACTATCAGCAGATATTAATCATTTTCAGGATAAGACATGGACAGTAATGAAGTCTTAACAGCATTTGATTTGTTTTGACCAACATAATGATCACTCATAACTTATTTGCTGCTCAAAGAGTAGTATATAACTAATGTATTCTGAGTGTTTAAATCTTTAAAATTTTGCAAAATATTTTAAAAAAAAAAAAAAAAAGAAAAAGAGAGAAAAGAAAAAAAACAAAACATCCCCAAAGTCCATCTTCAATTCAAAGAGCATCGGTGTTCGTCTGCATCCATCGTTGTGATTGTAAGGTCCTGGTCATCGTTTTTACTTTACTCATTTGTGACATGTGAATGTTTTTAAAATGCTGCCATCAAGAGTCTTGGCGGGCAGATCCTCGGAGCACAGAGTTCAATAGCAAAGATGCTAAACATTCAGAACGGGCCTGTGAGGTTTTTGAGTTGTTACCAACTCTCTGCCAGAGGGATTGACCTGGAATTAAATGGCCATTGTGCTCTAAAGTGTGCTTCAGCAGGGAAACAGGAGATGTTAGTCGATGATGGAGAGTAAGACTTGGAAATAATATAACAACTTCTCTTAAGTGTGTGTGTGTGTGTGTGTGTGTGTGTGTGTGTGTGTGTGTGTGTGTGTGTGTGTG